CAAACGGCTCTGGTGCTGCTGCAGTTTACTTGCCATTTAAGCGCCACACTCGACAGCTGTGTTTGTCAGTGGCACTTGCAAACCTGCAACAACAGCCACTAACAACTTGCAACAACAACAACAGCGGCAACAAAACAGCAGCAGAAGAAGAGGCAACAACGGCAAAAGAAGCAGCAACCTTGCAACGGCGTAGCCACAACAGCCCCAAAAAGTTGCATTTTCAAGTTTTATTATTTTTCTTCTGATTGTTTGTTTGTGTCTCTCGAAATCGTTTTAGCCTTTTTCTGGTTAAATATTCTTAAGTGAATATTAGACAAACTATAAATATAAAAGAGACAAGGGGGCCCATGGGAAAAGGGGGTGTCCTGAGAAACGCCACTCAATGGGGTAATTAGAAAGGAAGGATGTCTGGGATTTTCTTGGGCGGTATGGATAATTGTATACTCCTTGGGCGGTATGGATATATGTATGCACATATACTTCTGTTCAAACACTAAATTTTCGTCCTTTTTACTTTGACAGATCCGAAAATTTCGGTTTTTTTCTCTCGCTCACTTTCTGTTCTCCACTAGAAGCAAATTAACAAGCAGTGCAATAATTTCGCACCTCTGCGGGGGGGCTATTGAAACCCATATAAGAATAAGTGAAATAAGTGATGATATATTCTAAAATTTAGAGGAAATTTAATTTTAGCAGTAATTTGTATTGTCTTTGTATTGGAGGAACTAAAGCTGAAGATTTATTTAGTAAACTATTATTGAATTTTATCCACCGATTTCAATATCTCTTTATTATACAAAAATGTTGTGGTTCGTCATCGTCGTCGAAAAATCATATGTGGGCAAAAATTAAATGACTGACTACGTCTGACCGCCAAATAGTTTCTGTATATATATTCTTGATAAATCGCGGCCCCCTGGTCTATTAAATTATCCAAAATGACGTCCCGATCGATTGAGCAAGTAATAAATAATTGTGACTGAAGCGTACAGCCGATGAGGTTTGTGGACCAATTTTCAAGACCAAGGGCCAGATAGTCGCACTTTCGTAGGATGGTCCTAGTGGTTAGATACTCCATGAAAGGCGACTCCTGGAACTGTTGGCACCCTCACAGCTTTCACAGCGTATTATTTTCGCTTGAACTTGCATATTTTCAAATGAAAGCAACCAATTCGCAAGGTTCGTGTCCAGCATATCCAGATCCTGGCTTAATAGTTTCATAGAACGGAAGCTTTGAAAGTTTCATATCTACACGGCATCTACACAAAATTTACGTCAGCTCAACATTTCTGTTAACATTCTATGTTGCGCCACCTAGCATCTTTTGTCGCGCCACCTGGCGTCTTTCGTCGCGCCACCTAGCTACTTTTTGTTGTAGTTGTGGTGATGGCAGCTAAACATCGAATAAAAAACATTCCGGCGGAATGATGAACACTTTGATACCCTTGGAAACAATACGTTACAAAATTTAAGAGAGGTTTGTATCGCACAAAAGCTTTACTTTCGATTGGGCTTTCTGCACGTAAATTCTTAATAAATCGCAATCGTCCCAGCATCAGTTTTAACCGAACATTTACCATACAAAAAAACATTTTACCATTAAAAGGAACGACCGGGAACGTTGTGAACAGCGGCAAAGGACGCATTCAACATATTTGATTCGTAAAGGCCGAAGGCCGTAAGGTCAAGACATGCCATGAGCTGGAATTCGAAAAAGGAAAGTCATCCATTCCGTCAGTTCATAGGAACCCGTAAAACCTATCGTTTCGTTGCGTTCCCACTCATTCGTTTTTTTGTTGAATTATTCTTGTTTTATTCGGTAAAATGGCCAAAAAGCCTATAAATTTCAAGGAGATGTCCGCGATGCCACCGCGCACCATCAACCTGCAGAACGAGAAGCAGACCGTCGCGGAGGCTCTCAATTTCATGAAGCTGGCCTGCATGCGTCAGCCAGAGGAAGCCGTGAAGTCCAAGGACCCCGAAGGACCCACAGTGGCGGACGAGCTAAATGCTCGCCTGGCCATGGTGCATGTGCGCGAGAATCGGGCCAAGCGCATCAAGCGTCTGGTCAAGTTTCCCCCAACCGAGCAGCAGGCATTGTACAAGTTCATCTGCGTCTGTCCCCGATACCATCCCTGCTACGGACCCTGCCAGCACACGGGCCAGATCATCATCGACCGCGACGTGCTGTCGCGGGAGGAGCACATCTGTTTCCTGGCCACACCCAAGAAGGACCCGATCTCACCGCAGCTACTCAAGCCGCCGATTTACTACTCCAAAAAGTACTTCATGCCCACGTGCACGGCCCGCATTGAACGCCTGGCCGATCCCCTGCCGGTCCGGGTCAAGGACACGATCAAGACCTACAAGAACGTACTCGAGCCCCGCCAATTGGCCGCCTTGCAGAACCAAATGAAGCCCAAGCCGCCCGTGGAGGTGATGAGCATGGACAGGGCCCTGGAGTACTTGGAGGAGGAGCTGCGACAGCGTCGAGCGGCCAAACAACTGCATCGCCGTCGCTGCAAGAGCCTGAAGAAGAGAATCCTCCTGCGTCAACGCAACCAGATGCAGAAGATCGTGTGCGTGTTGTTCGAGGAGATGAAGGACTTCCTGCTCAACGATCAGTTTATCGTTGACGAAAACTCGCCGCTGTGTGCTGTGATACTGGATAAGATTAGGGAGTTTACGGGTGAGTGACAGAGCTCTTAAGCTGGTTGACAAATTGAAAATAAATATTATATATGGCATCCCTGCAGATCAAGAGTTCTACACGACCAGTAACCTTCGCGAATATCAGAAGATATTGGCCAACAACCTAACCGTTTGGATCAACAAGTTCATCTCCAACTTGAACATTTACTTGGCCCCACAACAGATCCCCGTCCAGCGCACGATGATGGCCGACGAAGATCCGGAACAGTTTGTGCCTCTGTCGGACTACATTTCGATGTCCGAACAACTGGAGGAGATGACGCGCGACACCGGCCATATTGGCTATGACTTTGAGGACTATGACAACGAGGAATATTTGAATGATGTACTAACAGCACCCGGTGACGGCGATGACGATACACTGATGAACGCCGATTAATCAGTTCTGCGTAGCTATCACCCTTCTGAACTCCTTGACAGAAAATTCTATAGTGTGCAGATCCAAAATTGAATTGTATCAATCCAAATTAATAGTAAATGTTCGTTCGTATCCCAACCTCTTCGTATCGTTTATCGTTCAGCAGTCCCACTGGGGAGTTGGCACAACAACAAAAATTACATAGAGCTGTTTTGGGTTTTAACAAAATAGGATATACAAAAGCCTATACTAGGGCTTACACGCAACACAGCGACTGTTTTTTTTGGTGAACTATTTTGTTTAAGCCTTGTTTTAGTCAAAATACAAAAAAAGCAAGTTCTAAAAACTACCTAATCTTAAAGAAAATGTATTCATCAACGGCCTAAAATTATGTGGACAGAACTAAGAATTTTAGTTAGCCAGAATTATTCCACGCAATCCCTAATTTGAGCAATATGAACGACTATCCTTTTTCGTTTTTTTGTTTTGACCTATTTCGCTAAAGCATTGTTTGTTTGAACATTTTCGCTACCTCTTTTAACGCAAAATGCAAAAAAGCAAGTGTTTAAGGTAAGCCAGTCCAGTTGAAAATATGTTAGTTAATGGGATAAAATTATGTGGGCAGGGCCGAGCGTTTTATCTAGCTGGTAATATCAAATCAAATATCAAAATCAGGGAATATGGTTTCTAATCTTTGACGGAGAACGATTAAATTAACCCATTTTAAACCAAGGGGGTACTATTATATGCCACCAAAAATAATGAAAATGTAATAATTTTAGCGCTGTTCAGGCGTAAGATATGGTGGTCATTTTTGTTTATTTGAAAAGATGAGAGATAGGGTGTGGTGGATCTATAAGAAGAATTTACAAATAGAATTATTTTGCCCTTCTTAATTCAAGTTTCTCGCCTGTTTAAATAGAGGGGCTTAGGTGGGCTAAGTTAGTTCAATCGTCTGAAGTGATCAGTGCTGTCAGGTTTTCAGAGTCAATATAAGCTAGATTTGAAACAAACAAAAATATGCTTAAAGTGGTTTAGCATCCTCCTCTTGAATGTTATAGTATTTGTCGTTCTTTTAAACTAACTCTAAATATTGTAAGGGCAATTCGCAGTTGCGGTATTTTCCCATTTGAATAAATACAGTGAATTTATAGTGAATTTATACGATAAATGTCGGTTTCCATCACAATATACAGAAAAAGCTAGTTCCGATATTTTGTATTCAACAGAAAACAAAAAAAGGAATAAATTTACATCTAAAGCTAATATAAGAATCTATTTTCAAAATTGCTAAACAGCCTTGAAAAGCTATTTGCAAATTGTATATACTAGTCCACTTCTAAAATTCTAGATCTAGCCCGAAAAAGGCTAAACTGGTCGTGTTAGGTACTATCTGTTTTATTATTGCTTGCATATTCTGGACCGTATTGCCTGTTGGACATTTTCGCTAACACTTTTTTTTGACAAGAACCAATAAAAGCAAGTATTTCGAATAAGCCAGTTAAGTAAAAAATTGATTCATTAATCGGATAAAATTATGTGGGCATGGCTAAATGTTCTATATAGCTGGTAATATTCGACGGAAGATCAAAATTGGAATATGTAAAATAGAACTTGAATTCGTCAGTATATTTACGGTATATTTTGAAAAAGAGGCGGTATGTTTCGGTATATTTCTGAGGTTCGGAAGGTATATTTTATTGTTAAGTCCGCGGTCACACTGGTCGTGTGTTTTGGTTTGGGTGGTTTTTGCGTGTTTTTGTTTTATTTCCAATCGAAGCCATTTGCAGGTAACTTAAAAAATTCTCGGCCGGCAGCAACAGCGCGCGCCTTTTAATAATTTTGGTAACTTAACTTAACTGAAAGCAAAATTCGAAAAGTTCGTGGAGAGTCAAATATTTAAATGTGCTACAATAATAGTGCCGTGCCATTTGATAATCTTTTGGCTGAAGTTCCCATGTGAAACCGTGAAACGTTTGCCGCCTGCGGGAAAAAACGAGACTTGTACGCGCGTCGTTTTCGTTGTTTTTTGGTTTTCCGTTTTTCCCTGTACAGTAAATTTATTTGACTTTATTCGCAAAGTGGCCGAAAAGTCAAAACGTGTTAAAGCGTGCGAAAGGTGGTAACAAGAACGAGGCAAAACGAAAAAAAAAACCTAGAAAAATGCTGTCGTTCATATTGAGTTCCGTCTCCCTCACTCCTTCTCCTTAGCTCCTTTTTTTCGCCGCCTAAGACCAGCATTTTGTTGTTGCGCATCGTATACGTGTGCAAAGGTGTGTGTATGTGTGGCTTGGAGTGCGTTAAGTGTGTGGTGTGTGAGTGTGTATGTTGTGTGTAAATTCCAAAAGATACGCCGCTCTTTGCACAGTGGCGGCAAAGTGCATGGAGTATAGGGTGAGGAGTTAACTAAAATGTACTATAGCTCACAAAAAGTAACTCCGATTTTTGGGTGTGTCTCTGGTTCGCCTTTTATTATAATTTTCCCACTTTTATGCCGCTTGGAATGTGTGTCTGTCTCTCTTTGTGCTCCCCGTCATTCCCTCATTCTCGGCTCATTCGCTGGCTGGCCGTGTGCTGTTTGTGTTTTGTGTGGAAAGAGAAGCAACAAATGCGACTACCAACTACGTGATGAAATGCATAAAGTGTCTCTGTCCCTGTCCTGCCTTTACCTTTTGCCCCCTCCCCGGGTCCCTTAAGTGCCAATTAGAATTGATTATTATTCATTATTTCTCTTATTACTGATACACACACACACCCAGACACACATTAGCAGCGACAAACAATTTCATTTTCATAAGACTCCAAAAACGCGTTCTCTTTTGAGTGTCTCTCTTTTGTTCCCTCCTTCTCCTTCTGTCTCTCTCTCACTCTCAGGCAAACAACTCCTCAACGTTGCTGTTGTTGTCAGCGACAAGGTCTCTCTTCTTCTTCTGTGCGTTTTTTTGTTGCTACCTTTTTGCCGTTTATTTTTCGCATAACGTCATAACGCAAACGCAAACGTAAAGCTCGCGGATAACGTGACGCAAAGTGAAATAAATAAATGAAAAAAATATACAAATAATTAATGAAAATTCCTATAAATTACAGAATCAAATTCTGGCCAAAATGTGGTCAAAAAGTGTGCGATAATCGATGTAAATAAAATAAAACGTGAAGCAAAAAAAAAAAAGTTAAAAAAGTGCCAAACCAACAAATGTGGCAACAATTTGGCCATTTCTGCGTGTATGCTGTTGTTTGAGCCTGGGCCCAAAACAATCGACAACAACAACAGCAACAACCACAGTGGGAAATAACTTAGGCGAATAAAAAAAAAGAAGAAAATACGAAAATAATATCTAAAAGATTCACTTAACGACCAATAAAGTAAACCCGACCCGACGCGACGCGACGCGAAGCGATGTTCAAGTGCATTCCAATCTTCAAGGGCTGCAACCGGCAGGTGGAGTTCGTGGACAAGCGCCACTGCTCCCTGCCCCAAGTGCCCGAGGAGATACTACGCTACTCGCGTACCCTCGAGGAGCTCTTCCTGGACGCCAATCACATCAGGGACTTGCCCAAGGTGAGTGTCTGGGTGGGTGGTGCCACAAATGTCAGGGCTCCCAAAAGTGCGTGGGGAAATTGAAATGAAATTCGGTCTGGGCGGGACCTTTACAGTTTCCGCCGTGGTTTGGGGAATGAATACTTTAAATATTAATGGGAAGGAGAGAACGTTTAGTTGGTTCTTTGTAAATATTCTAAGATACATTTACGAACCATCGGGTTATCTGAAAGAACAAACCGAAAGGTCCATCATCGGAGAGCAAACAAATTTGTCAAGCCTGAACCTCCCTGAGGATGACCTTGTTGCGCATCTCTCAGATACGACGGGAGAGGGTTGATGCGCCTCGGCGCGTAGTCTACATTCCTGGAAGGACATTGACCCTCGGGCCTAGGGTCTACTTTGGCCAGCCTCCTGGTACGACGGGTAGCCTCTTCGGCATCCACCGTTTGGGAACAGCAGACAACAATTACGATAAAAGACGGTGCCTCCGTCCGAGCGGAAGTCTTTAATTAATGCGGAGAGCGGGTCGGGGCAGGGGCAGGGGCAGGGGGAGGAGGCATCTTTAACATTTAACAATGCACAAGCTCTAATATTGAGTACATGCTATACATGGGGCTGGTGGCATGGTGGCTGTCGGGCGTTGCATGCATAATTGAATCCACAATTACGCAACTTGTGGATACACATAGATACACATCGACACAGCCACAAAGATACTCTTGGGCATTATGTCAACATCAAAAGCCACCGGCTGTAATACCAATTAATAGCCCCTATGATAATATTGGACCCTCCCCCCGCTTCCCCGCTGAATTTATGGAGGAGACATTCGCAGAGTATCTCTGATTCACTGTTGGGGCATTCGACTTTTATTGGTATTTTCTAGCATTTTTCTTGCATTTCCGACAAAAAATCCACACTTCCAAAAACATTAAAAATCAATAAAAATAGATTTCCATATAATTTTGGGCACTTTGAGGTGAAAATCTATTCAAATAAGCAAAAGTTTACTTTTTATGGTTCCACTTTAAGGTGAAACCCTATTAAAAAAAGCAAAAGTTAATTTTTTCGTTTTTTTTTTTGGTATTTTTATAGTCTTGTTTTCTTTCATTATTATCTCCTTTCAGAGAGATGATTCTTGTTAAAAGAACTTGAACAAATTATCGCTCAATACTTCATATATTAGCATAAAAAATTCTATACAGATAGTCCTACCAAATTCGCATAATTTTGTAATTTTGTAACCCAACCTCCAAAACTTAGTATTTAAAGATTAAAGACCGTACAATCGATTGTTGTCACTTTTTTTTTTATAAGATATTCCTATTCGGCTAAAATACTTAATTTTTTTTATTTTTATAACAATTTCCCTTTTTTTATTCCCTTTTTTAACGCCAGAATGTCAATGCTTTTATTTCTTTCCGATTGTGTGGAGTGATTTTTTGTATTCTAATTCCAATATTCAAGTTTTTTAGTATTCTCTGGTATTTTTTCTAGTATATTTTCTAGTACAAGTTTAGTATTTTTGTCAGTATCATTGCAGTATTTTTTCTAACATCAATCAAGGTTTTGTTCTTAATATTTTTCTGGTATCGGCTGAGAACTTTTTTTAGTATGTATTTATTTTTGATCTATATCAATATCAGTCCAGTATTATTCTGGTAATGTAAAAGCATTTTTCCTAGCATTAACTAAGTAAATTCTAGGAACAGCTTTTTATTATTTTTCTAGTATAATTCTTAAAACAAAATATACTACTCTAGTAGTGATATTTTCTCTTCTAGTATTTTCTGATATTTTTCCAGTATCTGCCTTTAATCCGAATAAATGTGGAACTAATCCATCACTTCCATGGGAATATACTAGATACAATTGAAAAAGTTCTGAAGCTTCGGTTGAACTGCAATTTATTTGTATTTGCTGTATTTGTATCTGTATCTGTATCTGTATCTGCTTCTGGTTCTGATTTCTTTCTGTCAGCGGTCTTCCGTTTGCGAGTGTGCGAGTGTATCTGTATCTGCCGGATAGACGAATAAACAACAAACAAGCAGAACTCTGAGAACCCAGAACGGGCGGGGCGGGGCAGAGTCGGACAGACATAAACAGAAGCAGTCGCGTTGACATAGCAACAAGTGGGGGCGGAGCAGGAGTACTGTGGCATACAGATGCATGTACCCTCCACAATGGCAACCCAAGCGAAGGAGCAGCCCCCCGTCCATGTTCCCCTTCTCTGGTTGCAAATTTATTTGCGGTCGCTGTGGCTTGTGTTTTCATTAGAGTTTTCCTAAAGTTTTCCTCCTCCTTTCACTAATGAACTTCTAATGCAAATTCATGTCTGCCACAAGTCGGACACAATTTTATTAGAGCATCGTTCAATGGCCGCCGTCGCCACTGCCACATGTTGCTGCCACAATGGACACAAGTCTCTCACAGCAATCACGATGGCAGCAGCAACGGATGTACTGATGTACTATGGGGGAGGGGGCTCTGGACAACCCTTTTTTTTATGCAGAACCACATTTCCGCGTTGTCAGAGGCAACAATAAGCGGTGGGGCATCGACTCTGGCTCTCAATCTACTTCAATCTACATGCCATTCATTTCGGTTAACAATTGTGTGGCAGAGCAGCGAAACGCCTCTTGACAGGGGCTGGAAGGGGGGGGGACCTACCCCAAGAACAAACCAGAATTTGTGGCAGACACACAAAGAGAGGGGGGGAGAGAGTACCCACCCATGGTCTGGGGCCCTCCGCCATTCATTTGGGCCAATTAGTCACGGCTCAAAGATAAGATACCAGGTAATCGCCACCTTATCGCCCTGGCATTGCCCCCATCCATTGCCTGATTGTCTGCCTCTTGGCTTACGAAACCTGAAGCCGTCGCGGCCCAGGTGCACCCTTCACGCCTTCCCTTCCACAAAAGAGAGACCCAGAAAATAAGCAGCAGCAGCAGCGCGGCAATGACATCATTTTGGCAGTAATCGGCATTCGAGGCGTTCGACGAGGAGAAACCCCAATGAAAAGGCAGGCAGCTATGGGAAACACTTCCAATCGAAGATCGAATCGTATCGAATCGTACATGACCGCTGGCTTTCGGTTTTTAGTGGCTCTTTGGACAGTGTTTTGTGTAAAATCTATCTTTGAGCTATAATTCGAGATACATTTTCTTCTAGCTTTGAAGAGATTTATATATAGCGAATAAGCAGAGGCATAGATCCGATATTTGTAGATAGTTATTCTCTATCTGCCAGTTACAGCTGTCATAGCGGTATTCTACAGTATCTACGGATATTTCAGGGATTGATATCTTTCAAATTTTGTTGCAAAACTTTTCAATTTATTTGCAAAACATTTTTCAAAGCATTTAATAAGTTTTTCAAAGGCTTTTTTTCTTTGGATTTTAATTAATCTTGGAGGCCCTTAAATCCGGTTTACCTCATGGATTACCACCTCAAAAAGCAAGTCCTGTGGCGGAAGCCAGAATCCATAAAAGTGTTTTTTTTTCTTACTAGATTTTAGAATGAAGAAGGAAAGTGTCCAGGTTCAGGGCTAACGTTACCGCCCTCTCGCTCTCCCTTGCTTTCCCTCTCTCTATCCCTCCCTCTCACTCTCGCTCTCTCTCGCTCCCTGATATTCTTCTTTATAAATCCACTGATGAAAAATCATATTTTTTCTTAAAGAATTGTCATTGGAATATCATATAGAAATTGTTTTTTATCTCGATTGATCTCTCTATATATTTCCAGTTAAAGTGTTCCAAAATTAGAAATAGAAAATCTTCAAAAATTTCTTTTTCTCAAAGATTTGTTCATCCTGGTTTTATTTACTTTAATTGGTGATTTTTTAAGAGTTTCCCAACTAAAAGAAACCGAAAATTGCATGCTTGATAGTAGCAGATATTATTTGGTGCATTCCGTAGATACATTTTTGTTCAGTTTTCAATTTGAACTGCACTTTCCACCTGTGGAATGTGGAATGTTTTATTTCGTGTTTGTTTTTAGTTTTTCCATTCGTCACACACAGAATCTAGACTTCCCCTCCTTCCCCCTCCACCTCTACCGGCCATAGATAGATCTATCTTTAGCGCTGCATGAAACCGGTTTCCCCCCTCTCCCCCTCGAAACGTTCTCTCCACTTAATTGTTCTGAATGGCATTCGTATCTGAGGCTCTGTTTAGCTTTTGTTTAAGCACTAAGATACGTAGATACAGTTGAAGAGAGAGAGAGAGAGAGAGGAGTGCATCTGCTTTCGTTGGCAAAGATTCCCGCACCGAAGATATAACTCAGATTTATGGCAATTGCGTTGCAATTTCTTTATTTGCATCTGAGAGATACTAAACTTAATGGGATTGCCTTTGAAAGATACTAAATTATGCGCCAGCAGCTGTCTGCAGTTCGTATCTGTTGCAATCATCGGCCATAAAGAAAGTTTTGTTAACAAACCAACACAGATGCAGATGCTGCTGCTGCAGATACTGTATCTGTTACTGTTACTGGTTGCTGGTGTGCGTGCGTGTGTGTGTGCGTTGGATAGAAAAATGAAGATGTACAGATTCGAATAGGCGCACAGATGCGCCCAGATGCCACCCGGAGACGGGCTCTGTTTTTGCGGACTTGCAACACATATTTGTATCTGTGTATCTACAAGTGGTGCTGGTGCTGCAACTGCCGCTGCCGCTGCCGCTGCCGCATGTGTATCTGAAGATTCAGTGCGGCGTGAAATACTAAACGTGGCTGGCATGGAAGCCACTCTCTGGCCACATTATTGCTGCCACTCGTGTGTCGGGCCGTGTCTCTGGTTCTAGCTTCTCAGCTGGTTATACGCTTCAGATGCGTCTCGTCCACACAAAATGTATCTAGAACTCGTTTTCCACACGGCCTCGAGGCGTGTGTGTGTGTGTGTGTGTGGGTCGCGAGCTACTGGTTGCTGGGCGCCTAGTCGCCGGCAACATTCACACACAACCCCGAAAAAAACAGAGACAGAAAGAGCGACAGATACACAGATACATTCGTTGTGTGATTACACTTGCAGATAGAGATACAAAAAGCAGAAACATTTAAAAAATTGCTCAAATCCAGCGAAGCGCGCACTGCATTTACATGTCATGGTTCAGTGCCCTGCCCCCTTGCCCTTTAGCCCAGATGTATCCCTGAGATACATAGTTTCTCATCTAGCAGCAGATACATTCCATTAGGCAAACAAATTGGGTTTTAACCAAACAGAAAATTGAATTGTTTGAAAATCAGATTCGTTTATAAAATGCTTTTGCCTTTGCCAGAAAATCAAATTATCGTTGGGTTTCAGCTGCAACATGCCACCACTCCTGTGTCACCGCAGCTGTGTTGCAACCAGTCTCGGCTGTGGCTCTGCCTTCTGCCACTTGCTGTGCGCCTGCTCCGACTAGATACAATAGTAAAAGTGTTGCTGTGGCTGTGGCTGTGGCTGTCGTCGTGCCTGCCCCAAAGCCAAAGCCTGTCTCTCTCTCTCTCTCACTCTCTGTGTGTGTGTGTGGCATAGAAAACTGGTAGGTTGCAGCCACATTGCATTTGCCGGCCGGTGTCTGCTGGCCGGCCGGTAATTTATGGTCCATGCAGCAGGCAAGAGAGACAGAGAGAGAGAGAGAGAGGGAGGCAAAGATACAAACAAAACTCAAGTTGCAAGCGTGGGTTGCATGGAGCAGGGAACGGTATGCGCCTCTCTTTTGTGGGCTCCAGCCAGAGCCAGCGCCAGCGCCAGGGCCAGAACTTAGCTTTTATTGTCATCATGGGTGCCCCTTTTGGAGGGATACCCTATCGATCCCTTGGCTTACAATGCAAGGGCGATAAACCCAAAGACAATATAAATATCACGATGAGTAACGCCCATACATTTCCATGGTTATATGCAGCGAGGATTTTGGGAAGCGACGATATATATAGAAATCCATAAATGGAATCCGCCTTGCAGGAGTGTGAGCAAGTGCGTATGTGTGTGTACGACGATTTGCGAGTCGAAAACATTTTTATAAAATTTATTTCATGATTTTTAACAGAGCCTGAAGCCACTTTCAAAAGCCACCCTGGAAAAGATGCAAAATTATCTGGCTCAAGGCCTTAGTGGAAGTGGGAAATGGCTAAGATGGGAGCACTATATCCAGATCGGTTGAGGACTCAAAAAGCTATAGTTTCTGCCTTCAAAAAGGGTATCCAAGGCTCCTCCTTCCGATTCTTTCCTCTCGGCCATTGCCCCGCCCCGTCTTTGCTGCACTTCGCTTTGGGCCATTTTCATATGCAAGTTTCTTCTTTTCGTCGGCCTCTGTGTGCCTGTCGCCTTTGTCGTCAGTCGCCTGACAGTTGCAACTTTTTGACGGATGATTTGTTGAAAGGTTTGTTTTTGTGGGAGGCACTAATGGAGTCCAGTCCCTCTAGGGCTTAGGCCTCCTTTTGTCTCTCATTCGTTTATTCGTTGCTGTTTTTTTTTGCGCTTGGCATTGACTCTCCCTCCCTCTCTCTCTCTCTGTCTCTCGTGGTGGCCCCAAAAAGAGAGAATTAGTTTCGTTCTTTGAATTCCATTCGATTTGTAAGTCCAAAAAGTACGTGTACGAGTATCTGTGTGCACTGTCTGTGTGTGTGTTCTTGTGGAATTTCGTTTTTGTTCTGTGTCTCTTTGGAAGTGGGTCAACAATCTCATTGAGTCACGGCCCCAAAGGCAGCAGCAGCGGCGGCTCATACGGCCAGCAGTACTCATATTTCCCATTGTCATGTGGGGGCCAACAGCGGGTTAAAACTGAGAGTTGCGACTGGGGGATACCCTACAAAATGTGACCCCTAAAGGGGTAGATCTTTAAGCGAAAGTATCTTGCTTAAAAGTGGAGAAAAATATCTACGATTATTCCCATATTTTTCCAAATGCTGTATGGAGGATGCGAGGATGTTCGATGTGATTTTAATGATTTTTTTTAGTAGATAGATATTTTATTTTATTTTTATAATAATTATTTAATTTTAATCTTTTTTTTTTTTGGTCGATAGATATTTTATTTTTATTTTTAAAAATTATTTAAAGTATTAAATACTAAAATTAATATTTAAAAAAAATAAATAAAGTATTTAAGACTGTAATCAATTTTCTTTTTGTTGGAGAAAATTATACAGAACAAATTATGATGTTTTAAAAGAAAAAATAAAAAAAAGCGTGTGATCAAGGTCGAAGAATTTGGAGGGGGATATTATTTTGTTCAATTATTTGTCCAGGTTTCTAGGGTAGAGGTCCTCTTAGATCTAATTTATTTTTTTTTAAATAATTAGAGTATTTAAGACTCAAATAAATACGATTCTAACGAAGGCAAACAAACAGTCCTCTTGCTCTAGCTACATTATAGCAATACCAAAATAGAAGCTTGTATCTTTTAAGTTCTGGATAGTAGAAAGGTAGAAAGTTCCTCTGGAATTTCTTACAGGCAAAACATCTATAAATTTATTCGTATCTAAAGACAGGGCGGCACATACCTCAGGGGAATCCATGGCCTGGCAAAAGTCCCCTCCCATCCAGTCTGGGTCTCCCCTCCCTTGGGTGTGTCCCACCTCTAGGCAAACACAATATACCCCTCCATTGTGCTCACACGTATTACAGGGCATTCCAAAAAAGTAAAAGAAAAGAAACCGAAGAAGAATTTAATAAACTTTATGATGACTACGAGAACTACGAATTATTTTCATTATTATTCTTGCGGTGGCACAAATGTTTGCGGGCCCCCGCAGGGGGGGGCGGCTATAAAAAGAGGAAGAGGCAGGCGACGACCGACCGACCGCTGCGGCTGTTAACCTTGAGGTCTATGACTCAGTGGAAATGTGAAAATGTGGGTGTGGAAATGGGAAAGGGAGGGCAAGATGGGAGATGGGTCGTACTCCACATTGCACTGAAGGAAGGTCAATGGAGTGGAGTCTGGGGATCTGGGGATCTGGGGTCTCGGGTCTCTGGTCTCTCCCTTCACTTTTGGAAAGTACCAAAAAGACAGACAGAGAGACATAATTTATTTGCGAATCAAAGTCGTGAGTTTTCATAAATGAATTGTTGGCGACATGTACCCCCAGTCGGAGGGAAAAGAAAGCACAGCCCCACGGAGTCTCCTCCATGGCTCCATTCTAATGGACGACGTTTGGGTCACGGCTTCCCAAAAACAAATGACAAACTCTTGAAGGAGATTTATGGCCACGAATATCGAGGGGCAATGCAATTTCTTTCTTGCAGAGAAAAGCGGAAAATGCAATGACATTTGAATGTATCTTTGATGTGTTTTTGTGTCGTGCTCTGAGGTCTAAATCTTTTCTTTTCTTTTCTTTTCTCTTGCTTGCAGAATTTCTTCAGATTGAATCGCCTGAGAAAGCTGGGGCTGAGTGACAATGAAATTGGACGCCTGCCGCCGGATATACAAAATTTTGAAAATCTTGTCGAGCTCGATGTTTCACGCAATGGTAAGTGGCATGCAACAAGTGGGTAGGTGTGTTCCTGTGGGCTAGAGATGATTGATTGATTGACGGGGAAACAGACGCCACAGCAGCGGTAGAAATGTTTGGCTTTTGATATACAAATTGAGTGCCACATGCAACGGACAGATGCTGCAACAATGCACAGATAATTGTGTGTGCATCGTGCATCGGATGGATGGGACTCAGCAGGGGATTTGCACTCTTAATTAAAGTATCTCACGGCTACCTCTCCCTCTCCCAGTGTGGCTTGGCAGTAATTTAATTTTTGTTTAATTGAGTGATGGGATTTCATGGCTTTTGCTATCAAAAATTATCATAAATATTCATAGAACTCTCTCTTCCTCTCTTCCACGAGAGAGTCTTTTATCACGGTTCATTCCAATCAAAAATCAATATCAATCGAGCGACTAATTCAATCAAACATCCATTTATTTTTAATAAATTAAATCACAGGCGAAAAATTGAATTGTGCCGCGAATGGAATTGTTTTAGATTATTTATGATTATTATACGGGCTAAAATGTGTGTGTGCGATGCCAACAAAATACTTTTTTGAATGTCTCAAATTATTTAATTGAATAAATCGCCTGCCGAAGCCACAGCATTTTCACGTTTAATTGTGGCATTAAAAGCATTTATTGAATCAATCATAAATTATTTCGAGGTGTTTAATCCATTAGATGGGGTATTCGAGCTGCAAAGATGCTTAGATACATTTGAGAAGTGGTTTTGATAGGAAAATAAACTCAAAATGGTATTTAATGGCTGCAAAATGATTGGAATTCGTTGAGTAATGTATCTAGAGCAATGAAAAGTGCAAGTATCTATTAAATACGAGTATTTTTTGTTAGAAAATACACGGGCATCGGTGTAACGTGTCTGGGGCACAAGTATCTGTGTCTTCAGAGTATCTTTGCCCCGTTTGTTGGTACGAGTATGAAATACAATATTCTTTGGATTTGCATGCAGAAATTTCCTTTTGGATGCATTTGCCCTTTTAAATTTCACTGCACCACAGAAAGATATTCCCCAACGTGCAGTTCAATTTAAAAAGCAACAGAATAGAACACAACGAAAAGGAAGTATCTCTTCCGCACCAGAAGGCCGCGTGCCCCGAACATCTGTGGGCATCGAGGTTCCAGGTTTCTGTCACAAAGTTTGATAACTTTTTTAATTTTAGTCATATTCGAATGCACTTGCACAGATACAGATGCACACCCCCACACCCCCACACACACACACACACACTCAGATACTGGGGGGAATCGGAGATACGATTCTTTCATGGCATATGGATTTTTCTGCTTAGGCAAGCGTAAATCCGTAAACAGTAAACAGTAATTGGAGTCAAGTGCAGCGCCGGCAGCCACTCCCCTGCCCCTGCCCCTGCCGCTGCTGCTGCCTTTTGTGTCAAAATAAATGAGAAAATAAACACATAAAACGGTAAGATATACAGAAAATATACAACAACCGCCGCCACTCTCCTACCGGCATTGCCATGGCAACAGCAACAGCGGATATCGTACGATTCATCGTTCATTCATTCACGATACGGCACTCGGACTGCACTTGCAGAAAAAAATACCAAGAAGGTGGATATCTGTAAAGAAAGAAGGAGAAAGGGTATACTCCGAGTGCAGGAGAGCCAGGCCACTCTGGGAGAGGGGAAGAGAGAGAGAGTTAGAAAGAAAGTCTCACTGGAAGATAGCTATCATTGGGGAGAAATCAAGAGACAGAGAGAGGGTGCGCTCTCTTCGAGTACATGAGAACCTACTCGTTGCTTCTAGGCCACACTGGGAGAGAGGAAAAGATAAGGAAACGAAAGAAACGCTTCCTTTCGACTTGAAGTCCCTTCGGGAGAGAGCTATCATTGAAGAGAGTCAGAGAAGGAGAGGCAATGCGATGAAAATCCAATCTAAAATGGTTTGCTGCTCAGCCACACTGGGAGAGAGTGCCTCCTAGCTGTGCAGAGTGAGAGAAAGAGAGACAAGACCCTCTGGAAGAGAGAGAGAGAGAGATATGCCTTCTTCCGGTTTCCTCTGGGTGCAGGAGGTCGCCGTTCCAGGGTTTCCCTTTCTGGTGCGGGAGGTCTTTAAAAAAGGTTTCATTTGACCAAATATTGCATTACCTGCCGGCGGACATTCATTGGAGGGCACTCATGAGTGAACTCATTACCCAAATTGGATCGAGCAATGCTTTGCCTTTGAGGTATGACGAGTTTGGCACCGCGACGCGACGCGACGCGGCATTCGGCATGCGGCATCGTGTTGCACTGCTGATTGTGCAGTTTATGGCTTTATAGACGTGACCCACAAAATGACCAAGTGAATGGCCTGGCCTGTTGGCTGTTGGAAATATGAGCTGGATTTTCCTGCCTTCCAGAAGGTGAAAGGAGTCCGACGCCCACGTGAAAAAGTTTCGCGATTATCCTATCCGGCCTTCTATCGGTGTGATTAATGGCCGGCCAAAGAGCGGATAAGTCGATCGGGCAAATATTGAAAGAGATTTTCGTTTAATCTGTAGATACGTGTGTGGGTGGGCGTGGGGGAGGGGACCTTTCACATTCAATTGCTGCCACACGCCGTCGCTCAGGTGCCCGAACTCGTTTTGCCGCCGCACAGGTGTGGGGCATGCCCCCCCGCCCCCTCTCTGTGGCACACCTTTCTTTCATTGCCACATTTATTTCTTCTTTCGCAATTCTCAGCGCGCACCCTGTCGATTCTATTTTCGCCTCAAATTAGCCTTCTCGATTTGTATTTCAGGGAGAGAAAGAGCCAAGCTGCCACAACAATAGATGGCCATGCCACACAGAGCCAAAAGTCCGTGAGTCCCTGGGTCCGTCGTGTTGCTGCACTTGACAATAGAATTTGTTGCAGCAGCAGCTGGGAGCCGCTTTGTCACATCGAAACGCGACGAGCGACTCTGCGGCTGCAATAACAATTCTCACAGAAACATGAAATTCCCATATCGCTCTATGTCGGTGGTGGGTGTGGGGGTGGGGGTGTTGCTGTGTTTACATATACTTATACACGGCACTGTGTGTGCACAGCTGTGCTCGGCATAATAGCAGCGTTAACTGGCGGAAAAATAGTTAAGGCCTTGGCCAAAAACCAATTTTCCATTCACAAAGTGATTCCCATTTTTATAAACAGTTTGCTAGAAAAGTTTCTGTAGATTTGGAACACTTTTTAAGGTTTTTTTTTTTAAGGACAGGATACTTCTAAAATCATATTTATTAGGGTTTTAGGGAACCTTCTGAAGCGTTATCTTCTGAGATATTCCACTGTTACTATTTTAAGGTGGATAAACCAGCATTAGAACCCCCTTTGGGTGTTCTTTTGCATCCAAGAATGCAAGAAACTAACATATTCCCTCGATAGAGACAAGTATTTTCACATTTGCCCAAGAAATGCCATGCCTTATAGATCATGCCCCCTTTTAGAGGGTGCTGATGCTATTCGTGTGACCCCTTGTGTGTGTGGGTCTGTGCCCCTGTGCAGGTGTCATTGTTTGTCGTCGGCGACGGCTACAGCGACTCGCGAGTTGTGCACGTAAATCATTATGACAATTTCTGACCCGCTTACAAGACCCCAGAGCCAAAGGGGCGCTGCAGCTATATAAAATGAATTTTTTTTTTTTTGCTTTTCGCCGACTGCTGCTAATTGTTTGTTTATTTGCGTATTGCGTTTTCTATTTTCATTTCATTTTCATGTACATATGAAATGTAGTTGTAGTTTTTCCTGCTTTTCTTGCATGTACATTATTTTGATACCCTCTTGGAGAGAGGGGTATGATGATTTTGACTACAAAAGGTTCTTAGGCGACCATTAAAGATACTCTTAATACAAAAGGGTTATTATCCATCAAAGAATTATTAATTAGAATTATTCCTACAGATATAGGGAATACGGATATTCCTAGGCCAAATAGCAATATTTTTTAAAATCGCATCAGGGACGTAAGTCTCTCAATTCACTCTCAAGGAGCATCCTTTTATTCCCTCTGCTCTGTGTTTATATCATAAAATCCTGTTGGAAAGCTCTCCAAAAAAGCCTTCAGAAAAAAGTGTAACACCAGTAGCTAAGGCAGCAGCAAAGGCAGCACCAGTTGAATTGCGTACTGAACCCTCCCCCCTTTGCGTTTGACGCTAAAAATAGAACAAAGCATTTGACGACTGCTTAGGTCTGTCTTCGGCGGTCGCTTGTCTTTGGGTTCGGCTTTCGCCTCTGCCTGTCTCCGAGGATCGTCATCGGCTTTCGCTTCTGTCTGTCTTTGTGGGTGGCCTTCGGGTAACGCTTCTGTTTGCCTTTGAGGGTCGCCTTCGGGTATCGCTTCTGTCTGCCTGTTTCTCGTCGGTTGTCGTCTTCGGATTTCGTCTTCTAGCTGTCTGTCTGTGAGTCTCGGCAATCGTCAATGGCTCTCGGCTGATCGCTACTGATTGATTTTTTGCACTCTCTTCTTTGCCGTCGCTGTCTTCCTCCTTTTCCCGCTAAGGGGCATATTTGTTGTCGAGACCCAATGATTTCTACGAGCAGTACATTTTTCCGCAAGTGCAGTTTCGTTGTTTGTGGAAGAGTCAGTCGGCGGCGTGTCGTGTTTATTAAATAACAAATATTTCGTGTCACGAATACGTATTTTTTTAAGGCTACTAGCACTGCGTTTTGCAGGCAAAATTTCTGCCAAAATTCCGTTTTTGTGGTGGAATTTGTCGTCCCAATTGGAGTCACGGTGTGACGAGGCGTGAAGCGCAGCAGATACGAGAGGGAGGGGGAGAGGCGACTCCCATAATATCAATAGTGGAAATAGTGTGATTTATTCAACTGGAATTTCATTTCCCTCTCTGGTGGAATCTCTCTCTCCCTCTCTCTATGATTCTCGCGACTTATTAGAGTGGAAAGTCAAGATATGGCGTTCGATTGTGGAATGTAATTATTTGCCATAATCAGCTTTTCCCAGCAATAGAAACGATGGGAACTATTTATGGA